GATATTGACCACAACTACACTGTTTGATGACAACTCCTACCTATCATTCGTATATCTATTTGATTATTGGGTATAAAAAATGAATAATTGAAATGAAGATAATTGTCATAATTTCATCATTAGATTTGGATAGCAATCATAATATCCTTAATATTGAACTCAATTTTATGGAAATATTTGAGTGAATCGAGTGGTAATGGAGTGATAGAAGGGTTCCGTAATATTATGCCAATACTTATCGGACAGTCTGTCAATCGGTTCAATACATGTCCAACACATAGACGTTGTATACATTTGGCACAAATCGTGGTTTGGATACTCTGTTCAACAATACTATTGAAATGTTTTTGCAGTGTTTTGTTGAACACATACTTTCGCATCAAATCGCATCCATTTATCAATACAATCGACGACTTGGTGGCGCACCCGGAGGTCGGTGTATGGGGTCGTATACCTCAGTATAGATTAGATGAATCCGAAAGGAAAATGTTTGATATATTAGAGAAAAAGAGACAAATATATACAAAGCATTTACGAAATGGTAGTCATATAGTATTTAACACCGATTTGGTCAAACATATCAGAGATAGGAAAGCGGTTATTATCACAAATTCATTCAGGGTAAATATTATTAAAACAATGAATCCAACACTGGATTTAATAGTGGGTGATGATAGACGTGGGTTTAGTTATACGTGGTACTCGATATCCAAAAATAATAGTTTTTCAAAGATTATTGCCAAATCGTAAGTTATTTTATATATAAAATACTTATTTTTATCAATTTTGAATCTCTCTCTCTCTCTCTCTCTATCTCTCATAGTTTGACACATTGTGTAGAAATGGGTTTATATATGAAGCAAAATAGGGATAATTCCCTTGTGTTTGGAATGGTTGGTAGACTTATACACAAAGACATGGAAAGTATGCAAAAAGGGGTGAAAGAGACCCGGAGTACAGCCATAACAATATGGGATATATTACGAGGTGTTTATATCATTTGGATTTTCGGTCACATATTTTCCATCATTTTCTTTATCACAGAATTTGCGTACAGACCCAGAATTCATAGCATTGTATAACTTATAACCAAATATCTAATATTAAAGTTAACAAACTTATTAAAAACTAATTATCTAGTTACAAATAAATATTCTCAACAACAACTATTCAGTAATCCTGATATACCCGCTCTCTCCCCACTTTGCGCCCCAACTGTCCACTCAAAACAAAGTATCATTTAGTCTTTATTGGCGTATCCTTAGCGGACAGACCTATTTCTGACGATGAAGTAGTCGGGATGGTATCCGACGGCTACGACCGCGTGATTCACTTTCTTCGCGACACACTTGGAGTGATGGAAAATGCAGGACCTAATGGACACACGAATACCATTGCAATCAAAACCATTCAAATGGGTTTTAGGACTCACTTATAAGCGGCCATATTTTTGGTCACGTGCACTGCGATGGCAACGGGTCCGTAGGTGTAGATAGCGGTCACCAACTGCTCGTCCCGTCTTATCAGGCGTTTGCCTTTCTTCACGTCGACGTCCACTCGTTTGGTCGGATTGTAGACACAATTGTCTTTCTGGCCGTCATATCAACACAACTTTAACTTAAATCATATTTTCCACGAGACATACCTTTCCCGCGTAGGGGTAGGCATCTGCGCCCATAATGCCTTTGTTTGCGGCCACGTATTTGAATGCCTGCTGAGGCATACCTACCAATCGCGTGTGATTGCTATTACTGTTATATAACTGTTTCATGTCTACCGACAATACAATACAGACCTCCCTTACAACCAGTTGTACCGAAATCTCCGGAACAGTCAATCAGATTCTGTTCACTGACTGTGATTTGATTCTTGGGGTCAAACTTTCCCATCGCTATCGATCGCTTCATGTTATGACCTAAAAGAGTACATAATTACTACAAAAATTCTCATAAATATGACGAAAGCCATGAAAGGGACGGACTCTCGAGCACACAGGCGGCCGCGAAACTCCAACACGAGCCACACTTTTTCTGGTGGTTGCGGATAGGGTTTGCATCAGATTTATGTATACATTAAATAAGAAATATGAACATCACTTGATTTCTGGGAGCGGTTATCACCCCAAACTTCCTCCAATCCCACTCTTTTGGTACGTCTTCTACCGATGGCACAGGAGCTGAGGCCGTCTTAACGTTTCCTAAAAGCAAAGTTTTTCCCCAAAAAATCTTTTTCATTGGGCGGCGACACAAAGTACGTACGCATAGGGGGGGGGTCTTGCCAAAAGCGTATGAAATTTTTAATTTAATTTAATAGTTAAATATCAGGGGGTTTGGCTCAAGCGTATGTACGCTAGGGGGAGGGGGTCAATGGTGTTTTGTGCAACTTGGGGGGGGAAGATGGGGGTCAGTTTTTGACCAAATTTTTGCGTACGTACTTTTTAAACGCCGCTTTGACTTAGACCTAATCCCCGGGTCCTTGTCCTTGACTCGCACGGTAACATCAAAGGACATCACTTCCTCTGTTCCGTTGTCTAACTTCCTCTTAAGGTCTCCCGAAAGCGACGTTTTCCCGCCGACAGTCTTCCCACTCGTCTTAATCCTAATCCCCCCGTCTTTTAGTCGCACTTCAAGATCAACGGACACGTCGTCGCCCGTCTTCTCCTTCGTCTTGCATTAAACCTAACTTTTGATCCAAAATCTCGGGAAAACTCTTGAGAGAGAAAACAATGGATTCAGACGACGAAGATTGAGAAATGAATGCTTAATAGCCGACCAGATCTGATAATTCGTTGACTCCTTGCAGGTATTCCGCGGTCTTATTGCTATTGTGGTCCTGAATCGACACAATGGACTTCTTGAATAAACCTAACCTCACGTCCTGTTCCTTAGGATCGGCGTACTTCTTGTTAAACAACCTCTAAATCCACACATATTTCGCACTATTGTTAGTCTAATCTTCAACTGGAAATGCATGGACTGAATGAATGGATGAGACAAACCTTATATCCGCCAATAAATGGTACCAATTGTGCCATATTCTTGACGTCCAGTTTCATGATATCAAACTTCAAAATATTCACAAATTCTGTTCATAAGTAAGTTTTATCTTAAATACGAGTGATTGGACTCATTGTCTTAAAATACCAATACTTTTGTCTCTTCTCATGAAGTCTTTGGGATCCTTTCCCGCGAAGACATTCTCTTTTTTCAATGGAAGCAATAGTGGGTTCTTCTCTTATCCCTGGGCTTCTCACCGGTTGCCACCTCTACGGGAACGATATGATCGGCGACAATGGTGGCCACCTCTATGAGAACGGTATTATAGGGGGCAATGGGGGCCACCTCTTCAGGAATGGTCTGACCGGCAGCAGTGGTCTCAGCCATAGGCGCTCCAGTTGTAGCCGGCGATAGTGGTGACAGGAAAGGCAGTGCACTACTCGCGTCCGGTGCTGTTGTGGTGGATGGGGTCGCCTCTCCAGAGGCTGTCCACCCCTCGACCTGACATTCCGTCGGATTTATGCGAAATAGTATTGATATGAATAAGTGAAACACGAGTGAAGACTTCATCGCTTGTTAACCATATGTTTGACATTTAATTAAAAATAGAGAAAATAAACTTCATTTTTATTTGTGAACTGTTTTTATGTATAATATTTATTCATTAATTATAATTATGTATCAAATGACCAAACATTAGATAAAATTTTATTTTTATTTTTAATTTAGTGTATCATATATAAACTCATCAATATTACCGGTATATAAAAAAAATAATATCAAGGATAATTAAATTATGTTATAAATAAAATACATCACAATTTACGCCCCAATTTCGCCCACAAAACTTCATGCAACCCATGGCTGACACACCTCTGCCTACACCTCATGGCAGCGCACTGTCTGTCCCCTCCATAGACTGTATGTCATCACAAAAAATAGCGATTCATTGACTGCCAGACAGATGGCGGCCATAGTGTGCGTGCATTCAATACAATGCAGTCATTGGTCGCAACCAATGCTTACGTCATATTTGGCGCTCATTTGAGTCAATGTTTGCGTTCAAAGTCGTCGTGTCTTTTGAAACACCAATTCATTTGTCACTCAATTGATCCCAAAGACCACTGCTATTACCACCGCTGAAGACACACCACTGCTCACCACCACTGCACCCATGGCTCACGTGAAGCAGCGGCAGAGGGCGTCGCGCGGTAACGACGCGGTGGCCATCGATGACGACGATATGGATAACGACTTAAGCGATGATCAGCGGATGAACGCCACGGATGGCCACAACGAGGCCGATGAAGAGCTCGAACAGAACTTCACGCCAATCAGCAAACTCGAGGTTATTATCACCCATTGATAGCACCATTTATAGCACCTTTGGTATCACCAATTGGTTGATCCAATGCTACCACTAATTGGTTGACCTATTGATACGACCACTTGTGTCGATGCCATGTCTGTGTGTCTAACCACTCGTGCGCTGTGTTTAGGGTCAGGGCGTGACAGCCGTGGACGTGAAGAAGCTGCAGGAGGCGGGCCATCACACCGTCGAGTCTGTCGCTTATGTCACCAAAAAGTCTTTGGAGAGAATAAAAGGCATTTCCGAACAAAAGGCTGAGAAGATTATCTCCGCGGCCATGAAGTTGGTTCCCATGGGGTTCTCCACCGCCACTGAATACCATATAAAGAGATCAGACATTGTGGTCATCACTACTGGTTCTAAGGAGTTGGACACTCTCTTGAAGGGTCCGTACCATTGGTTATCCACTCTCTTAACAGTCTCCCACTCTCTCACTACCGCTATATCGATGTCTCTCTCGTTATCTCGTAGTCATTGTCTTGTAGTCCCTCACAGTCTCTATCTCTCTCATAACCACTTCTATAATCCCTAACCTCCCGTTCCCATCGCACCTGTAGGTGGCATAGAGACCGGTTCCATCACTGAGATGTTCGGCGAGTTCCGCACCGGGAAGTCGCAGTTGTGTCACATGCTGTCCGTGACGTGTCAGTTGCCCTTCGACGTGGGCGGCGCTGAGGGCAAGTGTCTGTACATCTGCACTGAGGGCACCTTCCGTCCCGAGCGCTTCGTGGACATCGCCCGGCGCTTCAACCTCGACGAGAGTCAGGTGCTCGACAACATCGCCTACGCGCGCGCCTACAACAGCGACCACCAGACGCAGCTGCTCGTGGAGGCGGCGCACATGATGTCGGAGGCCAGGTATGCGTTGCTGGTGGTCGACAGCGCCACCGCCCTCTACAGGACCGACTTCTGCGGCAGAGGGGAACTGGCGGCCCGTCAGATGCATTTGGCGCGCTTCATGCGAATGTTGCAACGCCTGGCCGACCAGTTTGGTGTGGCGGTGCTCATCACCAATCAAGTGGTGGCTAATGTGGACGCGTCGGCCGTTTTCAGCGCCGACACCAAGAAGCCGATCGGCGGCCATATCATGGCTCACGCGTCGACCACACGGCTGTACCTCAAGAAAGCGAAGGGCGAGAATAGGGTGTGTCGGGTGTACGACAGCCCCAACCTCCCGGAGGCCGAGGCTATGTTTAGTATACAGTCGGATGGCATTCAGGACGCCAAGGAGTAGGTGTTCCCCACACGTGGAGGCGTGAAGTTTGACTTTTATTTATGATTAACTTTTTTACGTATAATTCATTGATTTTTGTATTTTTTCTGATTTATTACAATTTATAACAAATAGTTTTTGTGTATAAATTTTCTAATTATTTGC